TTTTTGTCATTTGATGTAACTTGTGAATTGTAGCCGCGACCCTCCCCCATTCACCTGGAATGGTGCTTCTGATTTTCAACTTGTAGTCCAAGTTTGATGCATTGTTCGAAAACCATATATACATGTATTATATATTATTGTATCGTTTATCATGAAAAAAATGGTTTTGTACATCACAAAACATGTTTTAATGGCCCCAAGACCTCACAACCAGACTGGTTGGTAGTTCCAAAAATATGTTTCTTGTTTTCTACGAACACTGGTACACAAACAATTGCACATAGTTTTTGCACCTTTTCGTTTGCTGTAATCCCGTGTTAGTGTTGGTGTGTGTTTTCTTGGTACATTTTCCGCGGATACATAGAAAATCCATACGGTCAAATAGTTGGGACACAGCCACATCAGTGCCATCATTCCTTGAACTGGTCATTGGATTTTTTAACAGGATCCTACCTACATCCCATCATTACAAAAACATCCCGCCGGAAGCGTTACCGGCGTACGAAAATGATCAAAATTACTACGTCCTCACAGCGAGGAGCTAGTTTTTGCATTCAAAACCTCTCCAAAAAAAAGGTCCATCTACTTTGGGAATGACAACCTTTCCACGACTTCAGCCTCAAAAAGGGCAACCGCAACTTTTTCTCACATTTTCTTCAACGTGTCAGCGGTGGCTTCCATCAGGTTTTTCCCTGTGCACTCCCACCGCCACTGGAAAAAAACAAAACATCGAGAGAGTTTCAAGTTTTTATTCCACATGGCAAACATTTCCCAATCAAACATAAGACATCCCAAACCTATCCATCTAACACGACGAGAACCCCATTCTGAAGGATCCGTAAATATGAAGGAAAATAATGTTAACGTATTCATGTCTGCATGTATATGCCAGCGGGATGTATATATGACGTCTAGGTTAGTACATAACACAAAGACCATAGGAACGATAGAACCCAAGCGTGGCACCGCATCCGTTTAGCACGCAATGACATGGACGTTATTACCCCACCCCACCCCACCCATAGAGCGTAGCATCAAGATCATGTGGAATTGCCAATTGAAGATCATAGAGCGTAGCATCAAGATCATATGGAAATGCCAATTGAAGATCATAGTGCGTAGCATCAAGATCATGTGGAATTGCGATTGAAGATCATAGAGCGTAGCATCAAGATCATGTGGAATTGCAATTGAAGATCATAGAGCGTAGCATCAAGATCATGTGGAATTGCGATTGAAGATCATAGAGCGTAGCATCAAGATCATGTGGAATTGCGATTGAAGATCATAGAGCGTAGCATCAAGATCATGTGGAATTGCGATTGAAGATCATAGAGCGTAGCATCAAGATCATGTGGAATTGCGATTGAAGATCATAGAGCGTAGCATCAAGATCATGTAAAATTGCGATTGAAGATCATAGAGCGTAGCATCAAGATCATGTGGAATTGCGATTGAAGATCATAGAGAGTAGCATCAAGATCATGTGGAATTGCGATTGAAGATCATAGAGCATAGCATCAAGATCATGTGGAATTGCGATTGAAGATCATAGAGCGTGGCATCAAGATCATGTGGAATTGCAATTGAAGATCATAGAGCGTAGCATCAAGATCATGTGGAATTGCGATTGAAGATCATAGAGCGTAGCATCAAGATCATGTGGAATTGCGATTGAAGATCATAGAGCGTAGCATCAAGATCATGTGGAATTGCGATTGAAGATCATAGAGCGTAGCATCAAGATCATGTAAAATTGCGATTGAAGATCATAGAGCGTAGCATCAAGATCATGTGGAATTGCGATTGAAGATCATAGAGAGTAGCATCAAGATCATGTGGAATTGCGATTGAAGATCATAGAGCGTAGCATCAAGATCATGTGGAATTGCGATTGAAGATCATATAGCGTAGCATCAAGATCATGTGGAATTGCGATTCAAGATCATAGAGCGTAGCATCAAGATCATGTGGAATTGCGATTGAAGATCGTAGAGCGTAGCATCAAGATCATGCGGAATCTCGATTGAAGATCATAGAGCGTAGCATCAAGATCATGTGGAATTGCAATTGAAGATCATAGAGCGTAGCATCAAGATCATGTGGAATTGCGATTGAAGATCATAGAGCGTAGCATCAAGATCATGTGGAATTGCGATTGAAGATCATAGAGCGTAGCATCAAGATCATGTGGAATTGCGATTGAAGATCATAGAGCGTAGCATCAAGATCATGTGGAATTGCAATTGAAGATCATAGAGCGTAGCATCAAGATCATGTGGAATTGCGATTGAAGATCATAGAGCGTAGCATCAAGATCATGTGGAATTGCGATTGAAGATCATAGAGCGTAGCATCAAGATCATGTGGAAATGCCAATGACGTTATTATCCCACCCCACCCCACCCCACCCCACCCCACCCCACCCCACCCCAACCTACCGGATTTTCATTTGTGCGACGGTAACGAGTCCGTTGGCAAAAACATGTTGTTTCCAGCACTACATTTTCCTTCAACACCTAGGTGTTCAAACCAGGTACATCTGATACATCCGTAGATCCCAATCAGAGCCACACCGCTGCCAGGCTGGGCTTGAAGTGTCGGGAGGTTGTCGCTGGAACTCTAGCAGGACGGGGTGATGAAACATGGGAACGGGCCCTGTTTCTTTTGTTGGCAAAGCACTAGAAGTGGATATACAGTTCTGAGAATTCGGATTGAACTACAACATACTACAACTATATCAGAATTCAACTACTAACCTATTTAAAAAAACATTGGAGATTTCACCTGTCCAGACTCGATCAGTCACTCGGTGCACGAAAACATGGGGAACTTCCGCTATGCCATGGTTCCAGCATGATGATGTCACCATGATTTCACCAGAAAAAATATGGTTCCAGCATGTTCCAGCAGGAGAAGTGTGTGGTGACGCCATCTTTGAGATCGAAGGATGCCCAGCGCCTCGCACTGCCTGGAGGATTTGTGTTTTTTTTGAATGGCCCCAGGATATGGTGAATCTGGGGACATCAATTCTAGGCCCTCAGCAGGTTTGACTTGAGAGTTTGTTATATCACGGTTTTGGATTTGGATCTTCAGATCTTCATTTTGGGGTTCAAACTTTAAGGACTGCTCGTTATGTTCCGGATGTTCAATGACTTGAGCCACACAAAGTGGTTGAACCACACTTCCCTGGGCTTTTTGGACCAATCCCCAAAGGTTTTTGGAACATGGTGAAACATATAAACATGGTGAAACCATATTATATACTGTAATAGTTATATATATATACACATACAGTATATATTTATGAAACCAAACATTTGCCTTAAAATTGTGATTCCCTTGACTCCTGATTCCAAGTTGCCTGAAACCTAGGAGAGACAGGTTCTGCTATGCTTGGAGAAAAAGGAGCCAGGCATGTGGAATCACCTTTGGAAGCAAAGACACTTGGACGATCCCTGAAGTTTGGCGAGTTCGGTGGGCCCGAAAAAAAGGGGAACATAGTGAGGAGTAGGTTCATGCGTGAAACTTTTGTCGCCATATGTTTGGAGGCTTGTTTTTTTGCAGCAGATGTACATAGGGAAAAAGTAATAGACCCAGCTACAAATGCCTTATCCTTGCAGGGCAGTATCTAAATTTTGTCATGACTATCAATTTTTGAGGCTTTAAAACAATTGCAGAATATCGAAGGTTACCCAAGCTAGTTGGCCGTGAATGGCCATGAATCTATCCAAGTTTCTCGTATAGCCCCATTCATACTCATTTACCCAGTGCAGGGAGCACGTGACTCCAAGGTGCACCTTCTTGTGGTCATCAGCACTGCAATGGCCACTGCTTGGAAGAGAAACTGAGGTGCGGCTGACCCTCCAAGTACCCATCAAAATGTTTTACCCCATGATTTCAGCACGTTGACCATTTTTGTTGGCGTATTTGGAGGGTCTATACAGTGACCCCGAAAAGATAGGAAAGTAGTTCAACAAGATTATTCTTGATTGTGAAATGTTACTGTTACTGTTCTATTCTTTGTTGGTTTGCTATAAACCGATAAAACTATGTGTTTGTCCACCCACTAGGATGAGCCATCAACTATTGCGCGGCACATTTGTTTTTCAGACAACCAATTTCCAACATGGGATCTACCAATATCAAACCATGTTCACCAATATGGCTCTATGTGTTGTTGACTAGTATCAACCACTTCTTTGGTTAAGAACTGAATCAGCCAATTCCCAACATTCCAGGATCATTCGAGAAATCATAGATCCAAGGGGCAACCTCTAATTCAAGTACCAAGGGGGAATGATGGAAGATGGGCAACTTTGTTTGCCCTGACCCTCACGTATATGAGAAATCCCCTTTGTTAGGACCCAATCCGTTGGGGATAGACATCATATAGTTTACTAATCTCTCTCCTGTGGAAACATTCGCCATAAGTTTCATTGAGGGCTTATAATTGGTTTATAACCCGTGTTTTTAGGTCATTTTGGGGATTTGTTTATAATAGGTTGGTGTTAGTTCTTGTTGGGGCACAAACGATGTTTTGCATCAATCTTGGGTAAGCGCAAAAAATGCAGTGAGACACAGGCAATAATTATCAACGTCTTGGATGTTTGAAATTTACCGGAAAACTTGTGCTGCAAGAACACAACAAATTGCAGTTCCACATGCAATTCAATCGGTTTCGGGCAAACGATGTTTATACCAGTACCATTCGGAAGCACAGCTGTATCTCCGATTGATATTGTTCTGGCAATTCATGTCTAGGAGCAAACAAGTTTTGTCCAGTAGAAAGTGTCAGCGTTGCTGTGAGAGGATCAAGCCGTACACTGCGGTAGATTAATGAAAAGAGGTCCTTTGTCTGGATACGGATGTCGGTTCTTGACTGAACTTAAGCCTTTTAGCAGTGTAGTCGTGTATGAGTTGAACCTCAACTTTGCAATTTTTACACAAGTCGGATTCTACCGCCAACCTTCCTCAGTTCAAAACAGTTTGCGGACCAAATATCAGCATGTGCTCTTAGGGCGTTTTCTGTTTATGGCATTAGGTCATTTCACCCCGGTTCATTGCAGTGAAAGAACCGTTTGGTCATTAATTAGGGTCATTAGTAGCCTCTTTGATCATTGAAGAGTGTCAAAAACATCATTCTGTTGATTATTTTGGGGAAGTTGTGTACCCAATATATTGGGGATTCTCATTGTCATAATCCATTGTTCAATGGGAATTTCAGGATCCTAAAATGGAGCTACTTCACCATATAAAGCCATATTTTTGGGCAAATCCCCTTGTATACCCCCTTACATAGGCCTTAATATGGTAGGTACAGTACCTCCAATTTAGGTGCCTGAACTAGCCATTTCATAGGAACCAACGATGGGTCAGTTGCCAGGAGAGCCGACGAGGTGGGACATGTGGCAAACCCATTGCTGGGTGTGTCTGAAAACGGGGCATCACCATCATAACCATTTCAACCGGAAATACGATGATGAACCCGCAAATTGCTGGGGTATCCTATTTTCAGACAAACTCGTATGTAGAAGGCAGTTGCTTGCATCCCTGTGACAGCTCAATTCGTGGCTTCGGTGCCAGTGATGCTCTTTTTCTGGATCTCTAAAAGCAGGAAGATTCGATGGACAACCATGCTCTTTTTCTGGATCTCTAAAAGCATTAGGAATGTTCTTTACCACCATCTGCCCTCTTTTTGTTTTTTTTGGAGCTCAAAAACCCAAAAAGGCCCCGGCGAAACCGGATCTCGCAGGTGAAGCCCAAATTTCAAAGTTTCACCTTCGAAAGACGTCGACCATTTAGTTCCAAGCGGCTCCAGCGACTCTTGGAACAGTGGCAGGACCAGAAAATTCTGGAAAGCCAAAGGGGAAGAAGTCCATGCAGAGATTTGTATGATGAATCTCAAAGATGTCCGACATGTTTTATTTTATTTTATTTTTTTCCGGTGTGTGATTTATATATATATATATATATATGTAACATGTAAATTCATATTATGTTTGTTTGTCAAGAGATGTTCCTTTAACACAATTGAGACAAACCCCCAGTCCAGCAATGCGATTTTGTGGGAAGAGACTGAAGAGATTCCATTTCCAGATCATCCATATATGGTACAATTGTATATATATATATATATTATATTATATATATTATATTATATATTATATATATATATATTATATATATATATATATTATGGTATTTACCCTTTGGTAATTTAACATAGACCCTGAAAACACCATATTTTTTTCGTGCAAACTTGTCACATTGAACCCCTGTCTGCCAGGGTCAACATGTTAATTTACTGGAGGGTAACACATGTCCGCAGGACGCGCTGTCCTCCGACTGTGAGGCATGGCCACCTGGCCATGGCCAGTCAATATCTATGGTCTCAACACCTGGGGAAAGCGTCGTTGTTAATGGTTAGCTATTGAACATGGCCATAGAAATAATATAGTTGATTCACCCATCAAAAATGGTGATTTTCCATAGTTACGTTTGTTTACCACAGGGTAATGGTTTTGGGAGGATAGGTAGCTAGATCCACAGATGTCCTTTTCTGACTGGTCTTTTTGAGTATCAAAGGGGTAAAATCTCCTTTTCAGGAATGGGTAAATGATGTCTTAATGCACAGCTAACCAGGAATTCATACTTGTATGTTTTCTTAAAAGAAAACACTTTTCACCCCAGTCCGCCGTTTCTCATCCACACTGAAAACGAATGCAGGTTCTAGACATGGGATGTTGCGCACTCAAAGCAGTGCTGCGGTCCAAAGGTGCGCAGTCAGTCGGGGATGCAGGAGATGATGGCTGGACGGGTATGCGGTAAGAGAATAAACAGAAAAATGACTATACATACACACTATGTATCTTGCTACGGGTATTGATCGCCAAACTGGATGCTTTCGATACTAAACACATTTAGACATGTTGATAATTGGATCACTGACTTTTGTGTTGGTTAATTCTGACTGTACCAGTTTACTTGGCTTGGAAACATAAAACTGAAGAATCGATAGCTGCAGCTTGTTTGCAGTGTCCACTCCCAGAGTTGGCGTATACCCTTTGGTAACTTGATGTAACTGTAATTTAAGATATGTGGAAAATGGAACATTTACAGGGGATCTACTGATCTACCTATTTAAAACGATCATTTTCCACGGCTCTTCTACAGATTGCCACAGGGTAAACCAGATGAAACCAGTGATTTTTAGACCCAGCGGCCCAGCGTCTTCCGAAGGTAGTGACGTCCTCTTTGGGCAAATGTTTTGAGAAACCTTCACCGGATCCATCAGATTCCATCAGTCGTATGCCGTATTGTACCATATTCTTGCATACATGATATTATTCATATTGCATGATGTGTTGAAACATACGGATCGCTTTCACATGTGTTTACATGTTATTTTTTGCACTTCGAAGAACCATTGAACATCCAACAAACACTAACTAGTTGATGGTTCCACGTTGTCACAGTAGACCAACTGGTCATAAGAAA